GTTTCTACACTGAGGAATCGCATTTGTTTCAAACCTTTGTTGAATGAATATTAAACATAATAATCATCGGAATACCAGAATTCGAAATACTATTTTGAAAATTTAGTTTCAAATAATAATCAATGATATATATTTAATTAGCGTGTAATTATATTTTGTATATTTAATTTTCGTGAAAAGGATAAGATAAGAAATTGAAATTAAAAAATTCTCTCTCTCGACGAGCATTTCTCTAAAGGTTTGATAGCGGCAAGACACCCTGTATACCTGACTTTTTGCGCGCCTATTAGCCGCGTCAGTAATGACGACGGCATCTTTCCGTACGATTGATGCGGGAAGGATTCTTGAAAATTGCTTTGCCAACGCGGTATGTGACGTACGTATATACACCGGGCGGTCGATGTTTAAAGACGAGATCGGAGCCTCCTCCCGCGGGACGTGATGCACCGCAAAAAGGACCGTACAAAGGGACGTGCGTGATGACGGCACGACATTGTCGTGGGTAACGAGGCGAGTTCGCAACTTTTATCCGGTCTTCTGAGACCCAAGACATATCTCGTATCTCGTCTCTAGATAAAAATATTTAAGTCTTGATATGACGGAAAACAGATATATTTCTGTTCTCTCTTTCTGCAAAATAAAAAGCGAAAAATAGAATTTTTAGAAGGTACGTTTTTTTACCGTACTTTGATCGAGCGTATGACGTGCTACGAAAATTAATAATATTAAAAGTGTATTGAAAAAAATTGGATTAATTTTTGTCGTGTACCAGTTTTTCAAGATGTTTGCTTTTAAATTGCAGAATTTTTCATTTCACGCACTTCCCTGTTACATATATCAGCCATAGCTCGATAATCTTACGGTTAATCGTCTCGTTCTCCCTAATGACTCGCGAAGGCGAAAGATCGCCGGTGATGTCTCGTTCGCGCATCGCGTATCACGCCCGACACGACATGCGTTCTCATGCGTGGCGGAGCGTCATCTCTCGGGATGCATCTCCCCCGAGGATTTATTCGCACGCGGCGGGCGATGCGCTCGGGCATCGGGCTCGGGGGCTACCGGGCCGTGCAGAACGTTGAGTATGCGAGGCGAATTTATCACGCGGTGTACCACTCGCTGCGCGCTACACGGCCGACATCGTAAATCGGTCTGGGAAGTGGTCCAAGCGTTTGGCCGAGCCGTGTCAGCGAAATCGTATAACTTCGACGGGTCGACCACGTTTGTCGGGGAGCCCGCCCCAGTGGCGTCGAGGCTTTAACGCCACATTGCTGGAAATTTCATCCATCAACGCGATCGAACTTTCGTTCACGTCACGTCGACATAACGTAAACATTTAATTCAAAATTTCGTCTAACGTCTAAGACCTTTGATTACATTCATGAAACTACTAATTTTCCGTTAATGTACAATAACATGAACCATAACATTTGAAAATCTAGCGCTTTTAGCACTAGAAAAATCAAAACTGCAAGTAATATATTAAAATTTTGTTCTTTGTTTCTAACAAATAAGATAAGTTTTAACTGCACTTCAGGAAAATGTTCAAAATTAAGTTAACAATTTTGAGAGATGGAGAAACATGACGTTTAATAAAATTTGCGAGTATAAATCTTGCAACGCCACGCCATTGCGAACCAGCAGACCTACCGTAAAGCAAAGAACTCGACAAGAATGACGGTCGGTAAAACGCGGTAGAGCGCCGATATCAAAGACCAGAAGTCATTCTGAACTCACGTCCGGTATGGTCCGTCTCGCGGATCTCAAAGACCCGCGCGACGGAATATCGCCGGCGATCCGCTCGTAAAGTGACGACGACGACGACGACGACGACGACGACGACGCGAATCGTCAGGCAGACCGATGACGAGAAGCGAATGCGGACAGAGAGGCGGAGATGTAGATGAGAACGCAGTCGGAGGTGGCGAGATGCTGTCGAGGAAGCAACGACGACGACGACGACGACGACGACGACGACGACGACGATAGTGGTGGTAGTGGTGGCGAACCAGATGTTTGGCTAATGATGTCAGCGGAATCGTAACTAAAACCGAGGCGGTCCCGGACTTAGCACCGGCTTAGCCTCAGCTTTGAAGGAAAGAGTCTTATTACCGAGGTCTGCACGTGCTGCTCGTGAGCGCGAAACCGTAGGGTAATTGGACCACCCACTCGACACACCAAGAGTGCCACTCTCCGCTCGTCGCTCCCTCACACTGCCTTCCTTTCTTCTCTTCTCTTTCCTTTTTTTTTTTTTTTTTTTTTTTCTTGCCCTCCGTCACCGAGGACGCGAAAAACGGCGGCGAGCTTTCGACGGGCAGATAAACTGAAAGTCGCGCGACGACTTTCAGCCTCGACAGTCGTCAATGCTGACTCGTTCTCGTCCCGCAATGCTACACGCGAAAGGAGAGATGCTGACGCGTGTCTCGTGAGCTTATCTAGAACATATTGCTTTACCGTGGAGTCATCGCGACTATTGATAAACCGGTTAAAGGAGTATGACGGAAGAAGAACAGGAATGACGGCTACCTCGTATATGCGAACAAAATGACGGCTACTTCGATTGCAGATTACAGATGTAAATGTTATTACGAGATTCGTCGCTGCTCTCGGGAGAGGCTTCCGTTGAAAATGAAAAGACGTAACATCGAAAACGGGGGGGGGGGGGAAATATATCGGCTACTTAATTCTAAAACTGGTACCCGATATGGGGATTGAAACTATCCGTTGTATATTCAGTATTATTATAATAAGGTTATTATGGGAGGATAGAATATCTCGTTTGCTTCCCAGTTTTTCGGAACGGTCCATATTAATTGGACCACCTACGGGCAACTCGAGTTGCGACAAGCGTCTCTCTTTTCCAAATAAATACACGCGTGTTATTCCTCATCTTGAGTAGCGGGAGGGAGGGTCTTCCGAAGGAACCCGTCGGGAACCCCCCTAGTTGAACCATCGGCAGGAGCGTGTCGTACGGACGAACCGCGCCGCATCTCGTCCGTGACACTCGACCCGGAAGACAAGGCTGATTTATGCCTGCTGGCTCGCCGGACGGAAATTAGATGGGTTCGTGTCGAGGGATATCACTGCGCTTGTTTGACATTTTTATGCGGTACCGCCGATGTTTTCCTACCTCCGTGCGCTGGCGCGCATGGGAAGGCGTTAATTAACGGCATCTTCTAATTACCCAATTACGAAGCTCAAAACTTGATTTTAAGTTTGGCTAACACCTTTGGTATCTAGGCAATTTATTAAAAAAAGATTGTACATTTATATATTCTCTAAAAGTATACTACGTCGTATAATTAATTAACTTTTTTAAATATATTTATAATAATATAAATATATATAATTATATATTTTTAATAATATATATTTTAGATAATAAATGATAGATGTGATGCGAAAAATTTTACTAGTCTTCTGTATAGAATATTATCGGAATATTATCGTTTTGTTGTTTAAAAATGTCTTGTAATCATGAATGTTGAATAACTTGCGAAACCTTATGCATTTCGCGCTTAAATATGCGGAAAATTGTGTCGACTCAATATTAGTTTTCATGTTTGGAAACTTGGAAGCGCGTCCAGGTACGCAGGTATCCCTCGAGAATCAGGCAAACGAAAAATCTGTCCTACTCAAAGATTTTGCCGAAGAAGGATAGCATAAAACGAAGTGCGTCGTCGTTTAAATCGTTAACATCGGGGACTTTTACATCCGTCGGGGCCACCTGTGCATCCGTCCCTTTCCGTCGTGGGTGGGCCCCGTAGGTAATGCGAAACATTCAACTTAGGGTGCAGATTTGACTTAGGGTAGATTTCCGTAAGGGTGACGTGCACGAGGGAGGGACAGAGAGGAAATGCAGTCCAACCACTTAAGAAGCTACTACAAACGTGACGATATGTAGTCCAACACGTAGACAAACTTTCTCGGATTTCTTCTCGTCGACCACCGTGGCGGCCGATGATTTTTTGAGTGCTGAGCGTGAACAAAGCCGTTCTTTGCCCTCACAGCGAGCGGGCCTGCTAACGTGAAGTTGAAGGATATTAAAAGAAAATAGACTCATTATATTATAGCAAAGCGAAAGGAAATCATTTATTAGATCATGTGAATAAATCTAACAGCGGTACAATATAAACGAGACAATGAGAAATATTGTAACCAGTGTTGTAACCTTTCAAAGAATTATATACGAAGAATAGCTTTCTTCCTCTCGACAATGCTTTTGGATTAGAATTAGAGCGACATTTCATTACAATTCATAGTACGCACGAGCATCCCTACGTATACAAACAAACTTACGCTTTTAGTTTCATTAAATTTGTTACGCCTCATAATTTTTCTTGTACCACTTTCGAAACGACCCCGGCTCTTTTGATCGTCGATAAATCGGAGGAACTGTCCAATCTACCTATATGTCACAGTGAGAGCTTTATCGAAGGGTTAACGCTTATCGTGCGACATTCAGTATCGGACAATATCGCAGTCGCTTATTTCGCTCCGGTCAAAAGTAATATCCGAGTCGAGTTCCAGCGATGAATCAGCCATCGATGCGACTTCCCGCTATGGTCCGCGAGAGAAATCCCGGGGCCGGTGCATCCCCGATTCGCTCTCGTAACCCCCGCCCGCGAGGATTCCCGTGCATCAGTCCGACGTCCCCCTATCTCTTCTCCGATCCCCCTCCCGATTCCCCTACCTCCTCGTCCTCCACTTCGTATAGGTACGTCGCTTCGCCGCCTTCTTCTAATTTTACGAGCCGTTGACTCCCGATCGATGGAACGAACCGTTTCGAAACAGCCGGCCGTTTTCCGCCACGCGCCGTTGGCCGTCCGGTGACGTAATTTTCCCCGAGCGGAGCCGAGGTCTGTCGCGCGCCGGGTAATAAGATCGGGGAATTTGCGAGAGATCGCCGATGTTAATGCGAGTCCGGAGGCGACCGGATCTCCGATCGCCAATCCTCCCGTCCGCCACGTACTAATCGACCGCCGTTTTTCCGCCTGTTGCAGATCACGAAGCTCAAGATCGACAGTAATCCATTCGCCAAGGGCTTTCGAGACTCCTCACGTCTTACTGACTTCGAGAGGTAAATTTCTTGCTAACTGACGTACGATGGCGAATTTGACGAAATCTGCCGTGACGAGATAATTTTGTTTTACATAAATCAATGTCAAGTCTTATTAGAAATGGACCTTTCATGTCGCTATTGAAATTGGATTTCTTTTTCGAATACCTCTTTCCTTTTTGAATATATATATATATATATAGTTAAGGTTATTTTTTGGAACATGAAATCGTCGGTAGCTATCGCAGACTTAAAAGAAAATCATTAATCTTTTAAAGCGACGCCAGAATTTATATCAAAAGAAGTTAAATCTGAAAATTTGAAAATGGAACGAATGGCCGAGCAATAAATTTTACTATGTAATGACTAAGAAAATTTTGTGATTAATATCTCTTCGAAGAATTCTGTAGCTAGAAGACGGTATGCATAATGGAGCAGCTTCCCTTTCAGGGAGACGATGGAGTCAATGCTGGCTGAACAACAGTCGCTAAGGTTTCCGCATCGATTGCCATTCGAGATGGAGCAACTTCAGGCGGGCGCCGTGAGCAATCTCAGTCTCGAGGAGAAAGCTTTATGGGCTGCGCGTTCTCAGATGCTGCTGAGAGCGGCCGCGGCCGTGGCCGCCAGCCCTTACGCTCAGCTGGTTAATCCCGCTTTCGGTATACCCGGGCGCCTCGGCCGCTGGTACCAGCCATCAGCAGCAGCAGCAGCAGCAACAGCATCAGCAGCAGCAACAGCAGCAGCAGCAACTGGGCCATCATCTTTGGTGGGCCTCGTCGATCGGGTCCACTCTCTTCCAGCAAATGGCCGCGTCCAGCTCCCAGCAGAACCCGACAGGTCCCGCGGCCCCCCGACCGCTCTATCCGTCGCCCCTTGCCCTGGCCCACCACCGATTCTCGCCCTATCACATGGCGACCGTCCCCAAGTCCTCGACGCCGGCTGCTCCGTCGCCGTCGCCGTCCAGAAGGGCCACGCCGTCACCCACAGATAGTCTCAGCAGGGACGCCCAGGATCTCTCGCCCTCGTAGTCCCTCGCTTTGCTAGAAAAGTACTGGTCGTGTTTTTCTTCGTGAAGAGACTCTAGAGGGAGCTTGAGACACTTACTAAGACTGCGCGATAAAAGCTGCTTTTTCTCATTCTCAGAAATGGAAGATTCCCGTTTAATTGGACCGTGAATTGCCTTGTGATTTTTTTATGAAAAAAATCTAATTGCTCTTCATGTGATGAAAGTCAACTTTTCTTTTCGACTGAGACCGGAGCGTAGCGATTAATACCTCTTGCAATATTCGTCTTCTTTCATGGAGAGAACTGACGAAACTTTTTGCGCGCGGTGAAAGTCGATTTCCATCATGTTATTTTTACTATAAATCTCGTTCTTTTTTAGATTACTAGAATTCTTAGCGATTACAGAATTTTCTCATTTAGAAGTGCAATATCTATTATGTAGTTAATTATTATGTTTTTTTTCCCTTATCGTATTATTAAGGAGCCGGTCTCTATTCCGTTAGACGAGTACAGGATGAACGCGCCTTCGCACGTATGCTTCGTATGCATGCGTAATACGTGATAAAGCATTATAAAATATTATTTGCGCAAACGGGGATCGATTTTCGTCGCGCGTGTCACGCGTCGTCGAGAGACATTGGGAGGACGATGAGTATCGATGAAACGTGCAGAATTCAGCATGAATAGTGACGATAATTGTAGTGTCAAAGGTTCTCGATGGCGCCAGTCGAGTTGACCACGGCACGAGTTTGCCGCTCTCTATCTTTCTCTCACGTCACGACGGATGGAGCAAGGGAAAGAAACGTAAAACTCACGTTACCCGAGAGTCTGAATGCTGGCCTTTCTCAGCTGAACTCTCGACCTTTGGCGAGCATGGTGGCAAGCACAGAGGACTGGAGTCGTCTCACGTGACTCGGCGATTCCGTTGTCCTTCCGACTGAACCAACTGGGACCGAGAGGAGGTCGATCTGTACATATCCTTGCCTCGATTCACGATCAGAAGCGATAGGACTGCCGATCCTGGTAGTCAGGATAGACCTAAGGATCTAACAGCATCTTGAAACCGATAGAGATAAATATCGTCGCGCAAAAATTTGACGCATTTGCAAAAAATATCGAGAAAGTATTCTCAATTTAAGTTTTATTTGCTTTTATTTTTTTTTATTTTTTTTATTTTTTTTTATACATTTCTCGGCATCACAGGTTGATCGTCCGATCGCAAATTCTCAAAAGAAGAAATTACGAAAAGATAACTCGATTTTCAGAAAGATTTTTGTTGTGCGCTCCATATTTCTACATTTTGTCTAAAAACTATCACTTCGCAATTGCGTATTTTCGCATATGTTAGAAATATGATTATACGTTTTTTTCGAAGTCGAATACGAGCGATTGTAAAGATCACGGTGATCTTCAGCGAGTACCTTCAGCGAATCGCACGCCCGAGAAATACAAACGGATTGTAAATATGTAACCATCCTGGTTCTCAAGACGGCATAATTGCCGTACATAATACACGTATATGCATCCTTAAGGGCAACTTAAGTTGTACGGCGAATAAAGTCTACACTTGTATATAGGTATACATATATCTACTTGCGATATAAGATAACTACGCCTCTATCTCTTGTAATATAAGCTGTATATTTCATATCACGAACTATTGTTATCGTTATTTATGTTTCAATTCCATACTTCGGCGCGGGGAAGCGCGAAGTGAGCCGATTGGACGCGATACGTTTCGATTGAAGGAAATCTATCGATTCTACGATAAATTGTTTAAGGAATCGAAGATCTTTGAACATTTGAAGATTCGATTTTACAGTGAAATCGAGAAATCGAAGGATATAAGGATTATTGGAGGATCTCCGAGCTGCACTTCGCGCGTTCTCCGCAAGCACCTAAAGGATTATTATCGCCGCGGCGATTAGTGTTAGTGTAGAGCGTTATATTGTTAATGCTTGTGTTGTGAGGAAACGCATACACCTATTGCTGTGCAAGCTACTCCCTTGTAAATAAACCCTAATAAACTCTTGTACCGAATATTTCCGCGCCGCCGTTCCGCCTTTTTTCTTTGGTCATCTGGTGCATTTCTTTCACATTCATTTCCAAAAATTATCCCTTTTAAGTTATAAAAATTGTAGGAGAACAACATATCTAATTGCATTTTCAACCACCTACTCAAGCAAGAATTTAATCTAGAATAATCTGCGCAGGAGAGATATAAATAATACAACCTTTCCTTCTCTCTCTTATAGATTATTTCTCGTCCCGTCGCAGATTATTAATCAACTACTATTCTCTCATCTTTGACGTAAATGTGATGTGGTCAAGAAGGTAAGGAATTATTGTTCCGGGTGCAATGATTTTGCTCGAGCTGGCGTGTACACGCTTAGGCAAATGTTGTCGATTCTGTACGGTTAACCGGCTACAGGATGCCCCGTTTAAAGGCATCATCACGCGATCCTCAAGCCGACCGTGCGATTAGGGGATGAAGGAGTCGCCATTCGCTGAAAACGCAAGCCGGCGAGACCGCATGTTCGTCGACACGGTCACGAGATCGATCTCTCGCAATCAACATTTTCGCTGAGAATTTTTGTTAACACGCGTGACATACATGTACCACGATGAAAACCTAATTTCCATTTCCACTTTAATCTGTTGAGATTTAAGAACCTTAAGAAAACATTAGAATTTGCATTTCCACAGCATTATACACATTAAATTCTATCTCGCATTTTTTTTAAATTAAAGTCGACCGAACAGTCCTTTTTAGCAATTCCTACAGATTCTCTTTTGTAATCATCCCGATATGTATTTATCTTATCCAACACCCGTTAGATCGCATAGGAGAGCCGTAATTTTCACTGCGTCGTTAATTGAAATAATTAATTAGTAGGTTAAACTTGGATTAAATTTATCGCTCGCCGGGACGTTCGCTTTATTAATTCGTCGGGCGACGATCGTGTCGTAAAGTAGGCAGGATGAATATATTTCCGTCGTTACGGCCGTATCGGGCGGGCATTAGGCATGAATAGTCGCGCGGCCGGCCGATCCATCCTTCGGTCGTAAATCACGCGTCGCGTTCGGCACGAAAGGGCGACGGGATCCGGTATTAGCGACGGCGCCGAGAGGAGTGACATGGTGAGAGCGTTACGGCGGAAAAAGGGAAAAAGCGGCCGGCACGATGTCTCGTCGTCGCAAACATCGAGGATGTCCGGCCGCTTGATTAGGGACCCTCCCGCCGTCGTAAAGCACGCGATCGCGATCGCGCCATCGGTAAAAGGACCGAGGACGCATGCGCTGCCTTCGCTCATTGAAGTGGAGCACATTTCATCGCAGGAGAATGACTTCTGATGAGAATGTAATTTGCAAAAGATTTATCACGGACACCAGAAGACACAGTTTTACATCTTAATCGCTCGGACATTTCAGGCGTATCTCGGACTCTCTTTGATCTCACCTCGGCGCTGTTTGATATGTCACATTAAATATTTTTTAATTATATTAACTTTTAGACTTTGTAACGTCTTCATTTCTCGTACAAGATATCACAGAGAGAGAGAGAGAGAGAGAGAGAGAGAGAGAGAGAGAGATCTACTAATTTGTTTACCTTTTTTATGGTATATTAGTTCTCTCAAAAAAAAAATTATCTTTCCGACTTTGAACTCTGAAGAAATATTCACGTTTTGCTCCTATCTAGCGTGGGTTCCGTGGGTACATTTATATAACCGTGTAATTTCGCGCAAGAACGGCGCATTATCGCAGACAGGAGGCGAATTGTTCCTGAATGGTCTCGCAGGACGCACCGCGGGGACAACCGTCGCCGAGGTGTCGGCGAGCTGACGGTGGCGTTTTAATGCGGAATGAAGGCATTATAAACCCATTAGCTGGTGGGCGAGCCCGGGCCCGACTTGCGTGCGAATGTGCGCCCATCGCCGTCGCTCTTTATTTGAATACACAAAACATTAACGGGCTTTGCCGCCGTCTTGTTGCCGCGCCGGTCCACCCTTGGCGCCGATCCTGCCCGCATCTTTCCGTGACGTCGTTTTTATCAAACGATTTTTTTAGCTCACTCCCGGCGAATTTCTTAATTTACTCGCCTTTGCAATTTGCGCGATATTTCTTTGATAGGACATCGTGACGAATGTACCTTTCTCGCTCGTCTAAAAAGTTTCGATTCTCTAAAAATGTCTCTCCCCCTTTCCGGACCTGCCAGTCCGATTATTGTGATTTTGCTTAACGTAACGCGCACTTTGCAAACCTTTATACCCCACGGTGCTCGTTAAAATAATACACCCCTTCAGATATGATGTACAACGCGCAGCTCCGTCTTTACTTACAATTTTTGATATTTGCCGCATTCTTCTTCGCCTCGAGATACGCTCGTCTTACTTCGTACCTTATTATGTTAATTTGTACTTTACAATCTAATTCCTTCTATATAGAATGCCCGCAGGGGGATTCGCGCGTATTCTAGAATATGTAATAAACTTCACTCTTCCTTTTTCGCTCTCTCCTAGACTCTGTTCGTTTCTCTTCCTTCGTCATCTTCCTTCTTCTTTCTCTCTTTGTCTCCTCCTCTCATCCCTCCTCGGAGAGATACTGCGTCAGTCTTAATAACAACTTGCTTAACCGACTCACGGCACCGTTCATCCAGCGTGTCTGTTAAATCGTTAATTACCCCCGCGGGAAGGTGAAGCCAGGGGAAGAACGGTTGGAGAGAGGAGAAAGATCGGACTAAAAAGTGCCGGACCTGGAGAGAACAAACGCGGAGGGAGCCAGTTTGCGAAAAGCAACGGCCAGGAGGAGGACTCGGATGAGGAATGACGACGACGATCGAGTCACTTCATGCCCTTTTTTCCTTGTTTCCTCCTCTTCTCCTCTCGCACTTTATGTCTCTTGGCAGCACCATAGCGAAACGCCCACTTCCTGGCCGATTCACGGCCGCATTATTCCGCATTTGAAAGCTAAAGGAATATGAAAATAAATCGACGAAGGAAAGACGGAAAGAAGAAAGAATAAAGAAAGGGACGAGAGAGAGAAAAGAACTGAATTGTCTAATTTGAACGTCACGGAAAAATTTGAAGAGAGTGAACGGAAGGGGGAAGAGCAGGAATAGAAGGAGCATTTATTAGGAGTATTAAATGTCACAGGTGCTAAGAATCTAATTATCAGATCTCGATTCCAATCGCCCATTCCGATTATTTATTCTCAAACACTAAGGAGGCATCTACTACCCCTTCCGGCCGTATTTCGGTTCTTGAGGAGGCTCTTCAAGGATCACCAGGATTTTTGATCATATCATCAAATCACACGTCAATGGAAAATATAGATAATCTCTATCTAATTTATTTATAAATATATAGATATCTCTCTGATACATTAAATTAATGAGGATAAACATTCGTTTATCGAAAATTAATATTATTAGGAGTAACTGTTATTATTAGACATATATTTATCATACATGTATTGTTATTTGAAACGAGACTTTTTTTGGAGTTGAATGATTGGAAAAGCAACTTTTAAATTTATCAAAGAATTAACAATCGCCTTATCTCTGAACTACGTGGTATTCAAAATCTATATAAATATATGCTATCATATGATTAGATTTTGACATTAGAATTTATTGGCGTCTTCCTACGCTTCCTGCATTGGAGACAGTCTATTGTCACTCGTTCTCAAAAGCAGACAAAACAGCAAATATTTGCTAGAAGGCGCATAAATTATATCCTAGAAATAGAATTTCGGCAAAAGTAGTAGTGATTTTAGAAATACACGAAAAGAGGAAACATTTTCTTTCGAAACATTTTTGCAAATGTGAGCCCTGCGGGATGCCATAGAGAAACAGGTAGCCGTAAAATAAAATGGCGGATGCCACTGATATCGATTGGATAGCGTACACGTCCACGCGTGTGCACAGCCGCCGCCACTGCCGTTTCGCAATCTCGCATAACGGCGAGCCCCGCGGGGCAGGGTGCCGTTTGCGGACGCGCACGCGGGGGATGATCATCTCGACTTGGCGAGATGGCACCAGGTCGGTTGGTTATTAACCAATGCACGTCGTCCGCGCGTGTTTGCTTAAGCACCTATTAATTGATTGAATTAATTTGACGACGTGCTGGATGCTGCGAGGCTCCGCGGGGAGTCCC